CTGCTCTGATCTTCTTTGTTTCCTTCATGTAGTCCTATGTATATGCGTCAGTCTACAGAAGTCGAATTATGACTGGCCAAGAATTTGATGACGTTCTGGGTCGGTTTGCATATCGTGTCCTGTGGCTTACCGAGTTGCAGGTGTTTGCATGGGTTGGCATCTTATCCGACACCATTTTCCGGTTTCCCTTCTTTCTATGAATGTTTTCTAATGAATGATTGTTTGGAGTTGATTTATGTGTCAACCTACGGGAACAATGGCCGACGTCTCCCAAACCTTCATCTAGCCTAGCGGATTCAGAGAAGTGGAGTACTCTGCGAGGTTTTGGTCGCGATAAGATATTATTGGCGAGTACCGGGCAACACTATCATCTCAACATGTCAGAGCTATCTTTCGCATCAGTTCTAGATCTTAAAAATTAATTGATGCACAACAACGAATGATTGTGTGTTTCGCTTTCACAGTTAATATTTAATCCTTCGCTCTTCAAAGGCATTTTCACTGATCGATGGATAACCTCTTAAGTGCGATTCTGAAATATGGCTAGTGCACTACCTGGAAAAACAGAAAAAGTTTATCATCTTCCGTGCTTTACCGCCTATAAGACGTTATGATGTCCATAAATTTCAAGTAAGCGATTCAGTTTCAATTCATTTTCGATTAATTACCTATGGTACTTACAAGGTAGGTCGCTCCCACACAGAAAGTACTGCTGTATCATCGTGTAACTAGAAAATCTGATTGTGAAGTCTGGAATGATAAACAAAGAAATAGTACATTTTCATATTTGCGAAGAATCCTGGAAGCTTACAGGTAGAGTGGTAAAAGTTGCGGAGAACCATCGTCCAGTAAGGCTGAAAGATGAAACTCAAGCAGATTAGGTTCACGTTAATTGCATTGGCATATTCCTCCAAATGAATTCGATACTTGAATAATTGAAGAAGGGATTTAATTCATTGAGGGTGAATTTTAAGTAGCTGCGTTGGACTTTAACTCAGTAACTTCCGTGACCATGAACACTGCCTCATCGGATCATCATACTGCTACAACTGTTGTAGGTGATTGACCTGCTACCCTTTACTCGGCTGGCTGTGTCTACCACGGTAGAGTGATTTGTTTCTTAAAGGAGTTAGAAAATCAGCAGATAAATGTTCGCTTACTCGTCTAAACCGAGGTCTTTCAACCATAAGCTTCAAGTGCCTTAAATATCTGTCCTTTGCCATTGTCAGAATTCTAGTTAATCAGCTACTTTAATTCATGATAATAAAATTCGAAATTAAGGGCGTTAAAACAATTTGTTACACGAATGCCGAATTTAGAAACAGCAATTATATTTTGGCGGGGCAAAGTTGAGTTTAAGGTACAGGAATAAATCATTTGAAATGCTGTTCCTCTTCAGGGAGAGTCTTTTATAACTATTTGCTGTATAAAATGCAGAACTCTCAGCCGCAACGACCACGGATTCGCGTTTTGAAAGTCAAGCAAGGTGTTATTTCAGTTCAGAATCTAATTTTTATATTTCATTACTATTCATTCAGTTCATTCCATGCCTAGAAATGCTATTGGTTAGCTGTAAAATTCGAATCGATTATCAGCGGCGACCTCCTTCCCAACTTGTCTTGTTTCAAGAAAACGAAAGTATTTGCGATAATGTCAAGCCTATGCATGGCTGAGAAGCCCTAGCCTAGCAGAAGCAGATGGATAGTTAAAATCGACATTAAAAGAATGGCTTTGAGTGCCCTGAAGAACTCAGCAATGGCCGTGAGGAATGCAATTGTCACTCATAAATGTTACCCTTTGTCAAAAGATGAACAGCATGGTGGAAAGATTTTGTAATACTTTCTTCAGGGTTAAATTTTGGAGGAAAATTCTAAGGTCTTCCCTCCACGTTCGTAGCTAAAGTATACATTTTTACATTTGCTTGTGAACGAGAAAAGAGATTTGTTATCACCCAATGTCACGCAACCTGATCATTTCAGGGTTCAAAACAAATTTTGACAGATACTTAGTTGGCAGGAAAGTTTATTCCAATATATTCTGACCTGATATAGGTACCTCGCGATTGTCGCCGAGAATGAACTTGCGGAGAACCCTCAATTTATTGCAGACTGAGACAAACAGACTGTAATAACCATGCAATGCTGCGGCTTTGTAGCCGCTCCAATCAGTTTTCTGAATTTTTGTAGCTAATCGCAAATTTTTTTTTTAAATTCGTTTGTACCTACAGTGATTTGCAATAGCATACTAAGCTCTTCGATCAGCTAGCCAGTAATTCGCGCAGGAAACACAGCTGCTTAGAAATCATCATGTTGCAGTGGCATTGAGAAATTGCTGAGTGATTTACATTAATGGCGCCCTTTTATCAGTATCTTTCGTGATTTCGGAGGGCTTGTTTTCGACTAGCATTGATTATAACCGCTAACGGAGAATTTTAACAGTACAAGCTATAATAGGCTCTATTTTCCTCGCTACTTTATCCATCATCGATTTTTAAGAACCCTGACAAACTGAAGGTTGATTCGCGTTGTCAGTATATATTTTGAAGCAAATCTCAGTTTTCAGAAATTGTTTTTATGACTGTGGAGCGTGACACACCCAATCGCTCATTTTCAGCAATGTTAAA